GTTACATATGTAGCTACGATCATCATTAGGTAACGTGAAAATCAAAATTCCGGTGATCAATGTCAGGGGAGTGTACTGTATACTGGTGTTGCCGCTTATAAGTATTGGTTTTCTTTTGTCCTTGTTACTTTCTCCTCCCCTTCTTTCTACTAACTGGTATTTTTTTTCGCATTGTCGTTTTGTCGTTTGCTGGTGTAGTTGATTTCGTCGTATACTGGTGTCGTCGCTCGTTGGTGCATTTCGTAGGTACATGTCGTTCTTGGCGGCGTTATTTTTTATTGGCGTTTAATATCGGCTCATTACTATCACAGTTTTTTGGAGTCTTTGCTGATTAACGTTATACGTCTCACTAGTGGCGTCGTTGGTGTCGTCGTTGGTGTTGTCGTTGGTGCCGTAGTTAGCGTGTTTTTGTTGTTCGTTGGCGTCTTCGTTGAGTCGTAGTTGGCGTCGTTGTTTGGTGTTGTAATTATAGTCGTTCTAATTAGATGATCGCTTGTTGCGTTTCGTTTTTCCGGTCTGTGTCTTTTGGCCGTCGTTGGTGTCGTCGTTCCTGGTGTCTTCTTGTCGTCGTTGGTATCGTCGTTCTTGGTGTCTTCTTGTCGTCGTTTGTGTCGTCGTTTTTGATACCTTTTGGCCGTCGTTAGTGTTGTGTAATCATGGTTCTTGTCAGTAGTGGGTAGTTTAGGGATTAGGGTTAGTGTGTAGTTTAGAGATTAGGGTTAGGGTTAGCTAAAGTTTAAAGTTAGGTATAATAGTTGGGGTTGGTTGATCATAATATATTTTAAATATATTTATAATTTATAATTTATAATTAATTTATAATATGTTCAAATATACTGTATTTATAATTTATTATTAAAATCTGTTTATTATATTGTATTTAAAATATCTTAATTAATTTAAAATATATCTAATATATGAATAAAATTTGTTTACAATATTTTAAATATATGTTAAAGTTATAAATATGTAGTTAAAATTTATTAATAATCAATTAAAAATTTTTTATTAATATATTCAAAATATGCTTTTTATAAATTTAAAATATAATTATAATTTTTTGAAAAAAATTTTATCTATTTAAAATATAATTAAAATTTGTATAATATCTATTTATAATTTTATTTTTAGATCTTAATAATATAATAAAAATATTATTTTAGTAATGATTAGCTATTAAACATATGATTAACAGCTATAAACAAGTTAGATGTTATTAACTTAACATAAATTATTATCAGATAGTTATTATATTTTAAACATATTTAGTAAAAATATAAGTTTCTGTAAAGCACAAGCGAAAGATCAATTGATGTCATTAATAAATCAGTAGTTAAAATACATTCTAAAAATAGGTCTGGATTTTTTGCAGCAATCGAAAACATTAATGAAATCAAGTAAGTAAATTAAGTTTTAACTTTAATACGTTTACAATCATATTATATATTTTACAATCTTATGTTAAACAGAAATATGGACCCAACTGATCTTCAAATTATGTGGATTTTGGTTGGATTTCCTGATGAAATTAACTTTTATAGCGTACATACGCGGGAATTATATATATTAGAGATTGAGGATCAAAATATTGCACTTGACAACAAAAAAAGTGTATTAATTAATGTTCCAAAGGAGCTACCCAAAAACTCAATATTGGCTCTGTCATTTGAATATCCTCTGTTTAGCGACAATTTAGTAATTCAGGATGGTAAAATTGAATTAAGCATAGACTATATTATGTCTAATTATGATGTTCATACTGAAGATTCGAAGTCAGAAAATGATGAATCTGAAGATGATAAATCTGAACATGAAGAATCCGACGATGAAAATCCCGAATACATAGTTAAATATCCTCTTCACTCATGTGTTTTTATTTCTGATGATGAGTTTATAGAAGCTGACGTATCAACTAGTGAGCGTAAAAAAATTTATTTAAAAGCAATGGGCCTACAAATTTGTTAATTGTGAAAATTGTATTTTTTACACTAATCTCGTTTATTTTCTTCAATATTATGATTATTATTTTTTTATATGTAGCAATGAGAAATTTTATGCTTGGCTATAACAATTTAATTACGTTTAATGTAAATTGTTTAGATTCCGTTCATCTTTATTTTTTTTATAGCTTATTGTAACGGTTGTTCCTTATTATTATATAAGAGAACTCAACTTCATAACATTCAAATGTAATTGTATTGGCATTTTTGTTTAAAAAATTTTTTATAAAATTTCATCATATAATGTTTAATTTATCAAATAACATGTGTATATACTCATTTGTTGGTGATAATAAGCAGTATAGCAATGTTCGGATTAAAGTTAGATTTTTTTATCAAGCTCCGTAAGTAAATTGTCTTGACGATTAATGCCTATTTTATGGTGGTATTAGGGATGGCATGCTTAAGAATGGCTCCGAAAGTGGGCACTTTCAGTACCTATCGAAATCGAAAGTCTACTGAAAGTACTTTCGGACAGGATTTGCTTTACCGAAATGTCCAAAGTCTTACCGAAAATCGAAATTCATACCGAAAGTCGAAAATCTTACCGATAGTCGAAAGTCCTACCGAAAGTTAAATCCTATTTTCACAGAGTCAAGTCACTTTTTGAGCACGCGGACTTCGACAAAGGCCATCAGATCTTAACTTAGGTCATGTGCTACCTTGAAATTATCCAATAAAATTTTAAGATCTTTCACGTGCTATCTAATTTTATGTTGACCAATCGACGCGAAGGACGATTTTCTAAATCCAAATCACATTTTATACACTTCGTAAGTATCCAATAAAATTTCAGATTAATTATAATACGTGTCAGTGAAGGATTGGCTTTTGTCGAAGTTTATGTTATGTGGCATGTCAAAATCACACGTCAGATGACTTTTACTCGGTTTCGGTAAGACTTTCGGCAAGAGTTTCGACTTTCAATAAGAGTTCGGTAAGAATTTCAACTTTCGGTATTAATAACTGGTTATGGCGTTAACAAATTTTAAAATTTTGAGTTCCATAGAAGGTATCATTCTTTCCACTTATAAGATGGGATGAACAGAATTTAATTCTGAACAACTTCGTGGTCTGCAAATTGATGCATGATTGTATTTGATTGTATGCGATTTCTCAGATCAAATTCT